ACAAGCAGCAGGATGGATCTATGTTGTCGGTTATTAATATTTAAAAGGACAACTCCCGCTGTCATAGTCACTTAGTATTTTTGCTTACACGATATAAGACACAGTCCCATTCAGTACCGAGAAGCAAAATAAGAAAAAAATAAGGAGACTGGGATTACTTATGTCGTCTTTATGGCAGAGCATGGGCCAAGAAATGCTCCTAATACAGATGGCTTTGCGCTAAATTCCAGGGACCTTAGTGTTAGGGCTCCAATGACTCCAATCCACACGCAACGCTTGCCTCCCGTGACTGCTAGCACTTGCGAAAATGTGGGCGTACCATAGCCCTGTCTGGCCAATCACCCTCATGATTGATTCACAAAGGATCTCACAGTCGCGACTGCCACACTGTCACTTTTCGGAAACCGGCCCCTTTGCGGCCGGACGTGCACTCGTCCGACTCTCAACTTCCTCCACTTCCTACTATAGAGAGGGAGCTAAAACAAAAACAAGTACACAAACCGATGTTTACACAGATCTTTGCTTGATTAAACTTCATGACACAAGGAGCGCGAGGGGTCCACGTTGCCGGTTATTAATAAAAAAAGACAACTGCTGCTGTCATAGCTGCTTATTTCCTGCTTACATGATCGAGGACACAGATCAGTAGAGAGAAGCAAAATCATGGAAATAAGGAGACTAGGATTACTTATGTGGTCCCCATGGCAGGACATGGGTAAGGAAATGCTCTTTATACAGGCGGCTTTGGGCGAAACCCCAGGGAACTTAGTGTTAGGGTTTTAGTGATCCCTATCCGCGCGCAAAGCTTGCCTCTCGCGGCTGCTATCACTTGCGTACATATAGGTCTACCCTTCTACCTTCAAGGCTGACTCACAAAGGACCTTACTGTGGCGACTACCGCGCTGCCAAACTTCGGAAACCGGTCCCTTCGCGGCCGGATCTGCACTCGTCCGACTATCAACTTCCTTCTTCCTATTCTCCACTATCTTCTATACAGACTATACTATTCCTTCCACCTGGCGTCTCTTTTCTTCTCTTCCCACACGGAACCGGGCCTAAAGATCGTATCGGCAAGGGTTTTTTCCATGAACTTAAGCCACTGCGATAGGACGTAGAGAAGGTCAGGGTTAAAGCAGGAGTTGAAGTTAGGGTTTGGGCCAATTTTGGGTTTAGGGATAAGAGTGCGTTTAGTGTTAGGATTCGGATTACGGTTATAGTTCGCAGTTGGGTTAGTTTAAAGATTAGGACACGGGACTATCCACTCTTTCTGGAATTTATCCTAAGGTCAGCAATATAACGGGTGGGGGAACGTTTCTACTCCCAGGTCTTATCAGTGGAGACCATTAAGTGGTCATTGAATTGAACACAAGAGAAGAACTTAACATGCCAATTTTTAGACTAGTCCAAAATTGTACTGTTCAGTCTGATGGAGCACAGATACCAGTCGCTTGGAAGGTATTTTGAGCAAAATGCCAGGTTACTCGACCAAACGTAGCTGAAATGTACTCTCAGCTGCATCAGTAACTCACCGGTTGATGTTTGTTTTAATGAAATCGTAGAGGTCTACACATAATTCTCAATGGCAAAACAAAATGTCAGCATTGAGCACAAAGTTGGGGTCAGCTAGGCCTTGTAGGAAGGCGGGTAAACACGTTCACATAAGGAACAACGGATATTTAAAAATCGTAGAGTTCTGCAAGGATACCCATGTAAACGTTGAGGAAAACATGGACTTTCAATTACTCATCGTCAGGCCTGTAGAACAATATAAGCTGGCTACAGTAGAACCATGAAAGTTGGGAAAAGCTGATGAACATAGTCGTAGGGAAGGATTGAGAGTATTCAGTCGTTTCAGAAAATAAAGTTTGTTATAGTCTAGTCCTTTCGGTACAAAGGTTAGGGACAGAGGACTTCGCCATAGAGTTATGATTACGTTACGCCGATGTAACAAGCCACGGGTATGAAACAGGTTGGCTTCAATTTAGGTCAGAGCAGATTTGACCTTGAACGAACGCATTCTGCAAACACAAGTCTGGCCTTTGTCACCCCTATTGGACATCTCCTCCGTCTTCATAAGAAACTGCTGACTCAGAAGCTAAGAGTGCCTTACCGACACTTTATAGATAATTAGAAGCGCTCGAGCTACGTCTATCCTAAGGCAGCTATCAACCGGATGAGTCACAAATGCGCCAAGAATACTTTTATATGCCTTGAATTAGTCAAGCATCCTTCACTTGGAGTTAACTTATGATGAAGGTAAACAATCGAAAGTATACACCGTCGAATCAGCCTCCTTCAACACATACTAAGTGATGGGGAGGCATTCACTCAGCTGAATAGAACATTAACCTCTGATTAGAACTGGTGCTTCGATTGGACAGAACCTTAGTCTACCACGGGACGATAAGTTTTGCAGAATTATGATTAAGATGCAGCTTAACAGAAGAACCACAATCTTCAAAATTTGACGTAAGGTGGCATAACAGATTGAGTCTAAAGTAAGTTTTATAATGCCAGCCTTCGCTCTATTAAAATATTTATTTATAGGGCCCTACTGTCTGTATATTATTCCGTTTGCAACAACTCCCAAAAGACTTGTCAAAATTCTCTCTGCAACATCTGTAGAGATTAATGCTAGCCTTCAAAACGATTGTCACATTGTTTAACTCACAATGGCTTACAGTGTGATGACGGCGCTGTGGCGGGTCTCACCTTCTCTTCTCCGTTCGTGACAAGATTATTATGAGCGCAGTTTATTAGTTTCTGTAGGCTCCTACGAGAATGATAAAATCGGTTCATTTCTATAGTGATTAAAAAGCAGAAATAGAGTTGTAGTATCGAATACACGAAGTTGTGTTGATCTCGTCTCCTCGTCAAGGATGAATTGTTCGACTAGCAAGTGAAGTTGTTTGTGCTTGGCGTTTGAGAAAACCATCGATTGCATTTCGTCTCCACTACTGCTGCTAACTTAGATAATAGGACTTCAGAAAGTTTGCTTTAATTCAAGATATTTCGCTATTTCAACTACTTGCCAAACGTTCAATACAGCGAGTACTCTTTCATTAAATGTCTCCCTGCATTATGAAATCATGCCTCATACATACTGACCCTTTTGCTTTTTAGTGGGACTTTTTTCAACTAACTTGCCTGATGCAGAAGGACGAAGATTTAAACATCTCCAAATGAAACAAAGGCAACAGTAGCTTGTGTAGCCCCACTCATTAATCCCTAGAAACTGCAT